ATGTCTGAAGGATTCGGCTAGAATTGATATAGTTAGAGAGGGACAAATCTATTTGTTCTGCGATAGCTGCATTAAGCTCATTGGTGGTTAGCGATTCGTATTGCTCCTTCACGGGTGATCGTCTCTATGTCTAATCGTAAAACTAATAGTAGTAGTTGGGAGGTGAATGTTGTAGTCAGTATTTGTCACTTTAAGATTGATGCAATGATTCTGATTCTAATGATATCAATATAGATGATTTCCTTTCAAAAAAAAAATGTGTCATTTTGCAATGAGAACCTTTAAGCGGGACATGGGTAGTAACATTTACTAAAATGATCTCAAAACTAATGTTTCGGCTACTTATGCCAAACATATTCATAGTCACAACAACTTGTTGTATGAAATAAATCTAAATCAAACAGCCATCTTTTTATCAAACAACTACAAAAAACTTTTTAGTTACTAAAACATACTACCTCCGTCCCGAAAAGGTTCATATTGATTTTTTTGTCAATGATGACAAATTTTGAACAATAATATTAATTAATATATTTTTATATAATTAAAAAATTATACTTTTATAAAAATATTTTGAATACTGAACATTTTGATATAATTTTCATATTCTAAATAATTTTGTATTAAAAAATATCATTGATCAAAGTTGATTTTCATTGACCAAAAAGTCAATTTGGTGAATTTTTCGAGACTGAGAATGTAACAATTAAGTACTCCCTCCGTTCTTTATTAAGTGTCCTCTTAGGCTTTGACACGAGTTCTAAGGAGAAAATAATAGAGGTAATGTAAAAGATGTAGTGGTTTGTGTTTAAATGATAAAATAGGAAAGAGAAAAGGGTAATTGTAATAAAATTGGGATAAAAAAGTATTTTGATTGAAAAAACTTGAAATAATGATACAAATATTACTTATGGACTTTAGATTGACAAAAATATGACCATTTTTCCAATGTACATAAAAGTGATAAACATCCAGCCCACCCTCTTTCTTCGCACACAGCCCAATTCGTCTCTTTCCCATCTGGCTCTCTTCTTCGCACCGCAGGCATAAAACACATTAATGAACAACTTCCAGAGAACACCTTCCAGCGCCGCACTCTTTCCCAGTCCGACTCTTTCCCATCTAACACTCTTTCCAACGAACACGGACAGAGAGCATTGCCATCGATCTCCATCGCGGAACACCTTCCAGCGCCGCAACCAGCTACGTCGCCGTTTGTATCTCTCCTTCTCCTTTCTTCTTATGCGCGAAATCTCGTCACCGACTTCAATGGAGCTCATCGTCATTGAAGATCTCGTCGGTCGGCGATGTCGAGCTTTTGATCTCCACGGCGATGGTGTGCTTCATCGATCTCGTCGAGATTTTGTGTTTGGGGCTGTTGGATTTGGGTGATTCATAGAGGGCCTGGGCAACTGCGAGTCGCAGAGGTGTTAAGGCGAATCACTGAGGGTTGTGCGACGCTATAGTCAGGTGGCGGCGGGTGGGCGACGCTAGGGTAGGCTGGGTCGCTGGGACAGGTAGACGGGGATGGGGTTGGCACTTGGGCAGGGGTGATGAGGGCCTGGGGCGCTACGACGGGTGGGCTGGGGCTGTGAAAGAAGGGGCTGGGAATGGCCTGGGGGTGGGGCTGGGCGGGAGCTGGGGTGGGGCTGAGGGCGCAGGGGAGGGGCTGAGGATGGGCCTATAGGCGGTCCCCTTAGCGGCGGTGTCGGCAGCGGTGGGGTGACGGTTTCAGAGCGGAAATTATGGAAGTTGTTTAACAATTTGACCGGAAAAGTTACCGGAAAAGTTTTCTAATGATACAGTGACACGTTTCACTGGGTCATCTGAAAGTGACATAAAAAACGGTAGTGACAAATCATAGTGACACGAAAAAACTAAAGTGACATGAAAGTGTGGTCGGTGGGGCCCCTGGTGGTATACTGTTTCTTCAGAAAAGGTTATCGGAAAATTTTCCGGTGGAAAAAATGACATATAATAGTGACATAAAAATCTGGCAGTGAAATAAAAAGCAGTGAAATCATGGTTTTCCATATATGTGACCTTAGTCACATTTTTATCCTTTTACGAAAATGGTCATTTTTTGGAAATTATCTTCAATTAGGTTAATATTGAACAAAAAAGCCCAAAAAACTTACCAAAATAGAAAAGAGTAACAAATAATTTAAAGTGTTCCAAAAATGAATACTAAGACACTTAATAAAGAACCCGTCACTGATATTTGGATTGGAAACTATATTAGCATTCATGACTCATGTGTGTGAACACAATAATACTACAAAGTAAACCCGAATGAAATATGTCAATAGGCTACTTTTTCCTTTGACGAGATGCACATTCACTTATCTATACGAGTATTAGATTACGTGGCCATTTACTAGCCAATACAATTTAACTTCTCATGTAGTTTTTTATTTCGTAGTCTTCATTAAATTTGGGCTCATTCGATTTTTCAAGGATTTAATTGTTGTATAAATAAGAAAATAAATCTTGTTTGATTGGATTTTTTATAGAGAAAAGAAAATAGACAAATCTGATAAATTAAAGGAAAAGTGTTAATTTTTTTAAAAGAGACAAAAAATTAACAAAGGCTAGTGAAAACTACAAATGAAGAGCCCCTTTCATAACATTAAAATCGGTTTAATCGGCTGATTTTGATGAAATTTCTGAAATTCTGGCTGAAGTGTCTGTATTGGTTGATTATGCTGATTTATGAAAAAATTATATTTAAAAAAAACTATTAATAAAATAAAGAAAAAATTATATGAAAAATAGCTAAAATGACTATCTACAATAATTTCAGTCAATACAGCCAAAAAAGTAACTTTAACCTTACTTTTTTTTACTCCAGGAGGTCTGGGGGAGGCGGGTTGGAAGGCCTGGATTAATCAGGGCACTCCATTGAGTTTCAAACCCTTGTGTGCCTAGCGGGTTTCGAACTCGGGACCTCCCACTAGGCACGGTAACCTCACAACCAGCTGGGATGGAGTGTTTGGTTAACTTTAACCTTACTTTTTCTTATTGTTACATAGTTTAACACACAAAATTAAAAGTTACGTGTTTGGTTAAAAAAATTGGCCGATAAGTCTAATAAGCCGAAAAATATAGTTACCAAACGTGCTCGAAGAGTGTCTCCATTCGGGCTTATTTATCTTTTCAGCATTTCTTATTGGGTTTTGGCCTTTGGGTTTTAACATTGCAAATACGAATGTTAAATTTTGGAATTCTGAAATAGGTTGCCCTAGCCAAAATGAAATAGGTTTTGGAATTCCTAAATATGAATGTTAAATTTTTCTTCTCGAAATAAGAGTATTTCATGTCAAGATTGAAAAACATTGTCATTAGTGACAGTAATTAATGTCATGTTAATGCCTAATATTGTAACTATTTTCACAATAATGACTCCAATAACTACTTTGGGAAAGGTTTATTACGAATCAATCAGCATAAATCGGTACAAATTTGTGTCTAAGTAGGGGATTAGGCCTAGAACATTTTGTATTAAGATTTAAGATAATGCAATCAAAGAATTCCATATTGATTACTTCCTCCGTCCCATTTTACTTAGCCAAACTTGACTTTTCAAGTAATGACGTCTAACTTTGACCGATTAAATGTTTATATAGAGAAAGTATTAATAATATGAAAATGATATGAAAATGTTCTTTGTTAAAAATACTATCATAAAAGTATAAAATTATTAAATTTTGCATAAATATATTAGTTTAAATAATTGGTCAAAGTTTATCACCTTTGACTGGAAAAGTAAAAAATGACTAAGTAAATTGGGACGGATGAAGTAATATATACAAATAATGCGTTAACTTTTTTAAGGATGAAGGGCGTGCAAATGCAAGTGAAATGATAATTTCGGGTGGTTCATGTTCTAAATTCTAACATGTCTTGTTCATTTTGCGCTAGATGTTACAACTATTATGATTGCAAATTAAAAAGTCGTGTTTGACAAAAATTACTTTCAAATTCATTGTATATTATTAAATATTTTCTATCTTAATTATAAGAAGTGAGAAAAAGGGGTTAAAGTAAAGGATATGATATACAAGTCTCAATTGCGAGGGATCGACAATTTATATACTCGAGGCAAGTGATGCATCTATCGGAGAAGAATACATGTAAATGATTGATTTTATTTTGTTTGTTTTCTTTTTTCTCTTTTTAACTCATATTGTATGTTCATTATGTTGTAGGACCTAATACTCTTTTCGGAATAAACATTTGATATTGTTGTTGTTAATATAAAGTACAAACATATTTAGAAGTCTCTCATCACTATACTTCAATTTAATCTCATGAGGGAAAATGACTATAAAATCGCTATTGTCACTGTGAATATACCACAAAAGTCATTGTACAGGAAGAGTTGAGATTTTTAAGTATTCCTTTTATTTTACTCGTATGCTTTTGCATACTCCGTATTTCAAGAAAGAAGGAATACCATACGTGAGTTCTTAAGGTACATGAAGTATGTGATCGAATACATGCAGCTTCCAAGTTTCTACGTACTACTTGCGAAACCATTGGAACACAAATGTCACTAGACGTATAGTGGAAAAGTATTTTTATCCTTTTCCTTAATTTAAATTTAAAATATTGATAACATTTCATTTGTTTACATTTTGACCAAACTTAAAATTAACTATCATTCCCTAATACTAGTACTTTCATTTCTTTTATTCCTGGAATATCCTCGGATCTAACATATATAGCCTGCTGAAAAGTAATTAAAACAGGGGAGGGGAAATTTGAGAAATGAAGACTAATTAACACTCCTGACTTTGTATTAAAAAAGTCATAAATACGAAGTATTTTCCCAGTTATATGAATTCCGTTTTTAGAAAGAAAAAAAATACACCTTTCGCCTCCAAAAAGGGGACACGTCACCATGCAGAAACAGAGGACGGCACCGATTACCTTTGACTTTCATTTCTCACTCTCGCTATATATACTCACACCCCCACCCACCATTCCAATCATCCTCTACGGACCCTCCCTTTCTCTCTCTTTCTCTCCCGTTGAAACAAGTAATTGAAGGCAAAAGTTGATCATCATTACAGTTGAAATAAACCCGGCCGCCCAGCCAGCCTGTCACCGATCTCGATTCATAATGGGAAGAGCACCGTGTTGCGATAAAGATGGGCTCAAAAGAGGCCCATGGACCGCCGAGGAAGACCAGAAGCTCGTTGACCACATCAACAAACACGGCTATGGAAACTGGAGAACCCTTCCCGCCAATGCTGGTACTTAACTTTCTTGCTTCATTTCTTATCATCCTCTTTATTAATTGATTAAAAATTGTGCCACTTCTTTTATTAATTACTGGGAAATTAAATTCAAATTCTTGCAGGGCTACAGAGGTGTGGAAAGAGCTGCAGACTACGCTGGACCAATTACCTTCGCCCAGACATCAAACGAGGAAAGTTCTCTTTCGAGGAAGAACAGACTATTATCCATCTCCATAGTATCTTAGGAAACAAGTAAGTACTTGATTCCTTAAAACATTTCTTTAAACATCAATAATTTCGGAATTAATTAGTTGTAATCTTATTCTTACCAAAGTCTCTGTTTTTTATGATGTGAATAGGTGGTCGGCGATAGCTGGCCGTTTGCCCGGAAGAACGGACAACGAAATCAAGAACTACTGGAACACCCACATTAGGAAAAAGCTTCTGAGAATGGGAATAGATCCAGTGACGCATACCCCACGGCTTGATCTTCTAGATCTTTCCTCGATCTTCCAGACTCCCTTCTACGACGCTTCCAGTCTCAACCTCTTGAGAATCTGGTCCCAGCAATATTTCCCAGACTCTGTTCTGCCCGACAATCTCGGTTACCCGAATTCGAACGTACAAGAACCTCAAATGTCACTTCCTCCGGTTCAAGATGTTCTGATTAACGGGGGCCCATTTCCCGGTACTGGTCAGGCCCAGCCACCGAGTGTTGAGCCTGGGTTGGCTACCGGTCTATTTGACGATTATTTTCTCCTGCAAAACCTCGGCTGCTATGAACCGATGGATTCTGAACCCTTGATGGATCCTACGCCGTTGGATGAAAGTCAAAATTTCAACTTTCAGCAAGTTTGGTCAACGCCTTCCCCGAGTCAAGTCAACAGCAGCAGCACCGTCACAACCTCTGAGGATGAGAGGGAGATGAGTTACTGCAGCAATCTGTTGAACTTTGATGTCTCTAACAGTCACTTATTTGAAGTTAGTGAATTGATGTAATTTTTAGTTATACGTATATGTATACAACAAGCATAATTTATTTACCTCAGTAAGTAATTAGTAATGAAACATAGAGTTGAGGTGTTGTAGAATATGTGGATGGTATAATAAAATCTTGATTAACTTGATTAAATCATTTCAGGGTTTGGTAGCATTTAATGCGTATGTTCAATATGTCAATTGTTATCTTCTTGAATTACTTTTACAATTGTTTCATTCATTCATGCTCGCTCTTGCGAAACATATCAACTATTTATTCGATATACGATAGTATATACTACGCGTGTATTAGCTCAGAAAAATTGCAGAATCTGATGGGATGATTTAATCTAAGAAAACTAATTCTGCTTTTAGAAAAGAAAGCAGAAGTATAATCAAGTTCTAGAAAAGAAACACAAGCATTATCAATTCAAAAAATCGATTTTCACTTTTAAAAAAGAAACAAAAATATACTTTGAAAAAAGAAACAAAAATATAATCAATTCAAAACTCACCTTTATCGGTTTATATATCCTTTAAATGTGGCTCCATAGGTTCTTCAAGTAACCCCGGGTTAAGTAAGCCAAGATTGAATGGTTTAGAAACGACTAGAATTTGCTCCCCCGTCCTCATGGACGGATCTATGTAGGGTCTAGGGTGGGCTCTAGCCCAGCCCAACCCAATTTTTTTTGTTAGTATAGAAAGAGATTTAATTTTCAACCCACCCAAAAATTAAAACTCAACCCACCCCAAGTCTACAAGAAAGTGTTCTAAGAAGCTCTAAAAGCAAAAGGCTGCCCAAACATTGTTTAAAGCCCATAGTCATGGGAACAAATGATCCCGAGAACTCGGCTTATTTAAAGTAAAAGGCTGTCCAAACTTTGTTTAAAGCCCATAGTCATGTGCATTAGTTTTATTTAATAGTTATGTAATTCTATTTGATTATTAATTTAATTTATGCTCAAACTCGGCTTGAATAAAATAGATATATGAACTCTATTTTTTAGTGTTCAAATATATTTAAAAAAATTGCAATGAAAATGTTTAAATTTTAAGAAATAAAATTTATTCCTATAATTTACGAGTTATTGATAGACTCGAGTCCGGATCAAACCGAATACCACTATGCTCGAACTCAGCTTGAACAACTATTCGAACTCAAAATCTAGCTCGTGTTCGAGTTAAAAAAAGCTTCTTAAGCTCAGATCGCTAAATTAAATTCGAAATCACGCTCGAATTCGCGTAGTTCGAAAAAAACTCAATTCGATTACGGCCCTAAGCAGCCTAAGCTAAACATTTTATTTGCAATAACAATTTTTTTCCTGCTAAGCCCACCCCACTCTTCATTCCTGAATCCGCCCCTGCCCGTCCTGAAATAAATGTCATCCTTTCTCAAAATGGAGTTCCCAAAATAATTGTCCTACTTTGAAACTTTCCTTATTTGGTATATAAATCTATACAAAACAGTGTCAAACAGTTCCAAACAATGTCGTTACAGTGCCAAACAGTGTCGCTACAGTGTCAAACAGTGTCGCTACAGTGTAAAGTCAAATTCATTTTCTTAATCAGTGCGAAGGCCAAAGCAGGATAATTATTTCAGGACGAAGGGAGTAATTCCCATTCCTCTGTTCTTTTGTATGGGGTATAAAAAATACTCCGTAGGACACAAGATTGGCATAACTCATCGTACAGGGTCATATCACCTTCATCTCACAAAGACTTTGATTAAGATTAGGACGTGAGAAATTAATTAGAAAGTTGATTAGTTTACTTGACATTGACTATGAAGCATGAATGCGGTAAAAAGAGGAGAAAATTCACAGTTTAGAAATAAAACTTATCAAATATGTAAAAGTAGGACTCCTATCTAACATCATACGCAAATTATGAGTAAGGGACAGAAATGCCCTTAATGAATAGTCAAACTTATTTAGTAAAAATACAAAATATAATAATAAACTAATTAATGCATTACACAACAAGTCAACAACGTATTTTCCTTCCCCAACCACAAGTTGCCGCCGACACCATTCAGGGGCAGTACCTGCACCACTAACCGCCACCCTTAACCACTGTCCTACGCCGCCACTTAACGCCGCCGCCAGATGCTGGACGTTGCCACCGCCGGACGCCGACAATCTCTGCCGTCGCTGGACACCGCCAGTCTTCACCGTCGTCGGACGCCGCCGGTCTCAGCTGTCGTTTGACGCCGCCACCACCACCATCTTCGCTGCTGCCTTGTTCCAGGGTCACCACCGACCATCTATAATTCCGACGCCGCCATCTCCATCCATTAGCCTCAGATCTGAAAATTAAGAATGTTGTAGAATGACAATCTGATATTTATTTATTTATTTAATTTTTTTAAACTAAAAATTTAAATTTAATGAATTTGGATTTGAAAAATATATAATAATGTTTATTTTTCGAAAATGGCAAAATTATTATAAAAATGCCATGTTTTTCAATATGTTTGGCAAATAATGTCATTTTACATTTATGAATGTTTTTCAATATGTTTGGCAAATAATGTCATTTTACATTTAAGAAGTCGACATTAATTTCGTAAAGATGGCAATTACATGGATATGTTAGTCAAATAATGCCATGTTTTACAAATGTTCTTAATACCATAAAAACAATTTAAAATGGAAATTATGGCAATTTCAGATTCAAAGTAGAAAATAATTTGTACAAAAATATTGACTGAAATTAAATGTAAAAAATTACTCGTATATTTTATAATGTAAAATATAAATTAAAAGTCAGTCGTTCAAAAAAGAAATTAAAGGAAGAGAATGACTTTTACTTAACCGAACTAACTCATAAAAGAAATTAGAAGTTGATTTTTCACTTGGAAGAGAAAACGAAAAAATTAATAATAAATACTTAATAACAGATCATCTAGGAAAGAAGAAAATCAAATAAAAAAATATCAATTGGTCCAAATCAAACAACAAGCCACCAACTTCGCTATGAAAACATAAAGTTCCATAAAGCTGCACTGCCGAATGAATTCAAAGAAGAGAAAAAAAAGAAGGGGAATTGAGAAGAAAAGAAAGAGGAGAGGAAGAAGAAAAAGAATGAAAAGCATCAGATTAAAACTTACATGTGAGGGTTGTCGTCATCCGCCGGTGGCCGGAGTTGGACAAAAAAAAAATTGTTGTTTGTAATTTGCCGCATCGAAGATGGAAAAGTGAGAGAAATCAGATCTGAAAATGGATGAGGGGGAGGGGAGGAAGAGGTAGATGAAAAGTGAGAGAGGTTGAGGGCTACGTACCAACGTGAGAAAAGTCTGACAAAGAAAAAGTAAGCCGACAAAATAAAAAGGGGGTAAAATTTGCAAAATATACGGATCAAATAACCGATAGCTCCTATTTAGGGAATCAATGGATCAGAACTCCTATTTTGGAATTGTATCTATGTTTTACTCCCTTTTAGGGTAATTACTTTAAAAAGAGTTATACTCCTTATTATCAAACAATGAGCTAGCACAATAGAAAAAACAAAAGTGAAGGAAATAATTCACACGTGTAGAAGTAGATTTTTAAATTTCCGAAAATAGGTGTATTTTTTAAAACTTATACAAGGATATCCCTACATGAGCTACTGCCGGTAGGCGGTAGCCCCCCAACCGGTCGCTGAAATCTGCCAAAATTTTCGTGAATGCATCCGCCACACGTCAGCCGCTGTCACTGCCGGGTTGTCCCGCCACCAGAAAACTGACCCGGTTATCTATGGGAATTGAGTGCCAATTAATTATAGGGAAAACTATCAAATAAGCCCCCGTACTATACCGAAAAAGTCGATTAGGCCCTTGTACTTTACAAATACTCAATTAAGTCCTCGAACTATTAAAAAACGTTCAATTAAACCCTTTTGGTGGGTAAGTAACCGATTTCCCGGTTAAACGACGACGATGGCGACGATGTGCTCGAACCCCAGCAACGGTGGCTTCCGGGAAATATGTTACATTTAACCGGGAAACCGGTTACTTACTGATCGAAAGGGCTTAATTGAACGTTTTTTTAATAGTTCGAGGACTTAATTGAGTGTTTGTAAAGTACGAGGGCCTAATCGACTTTTTCGGTATAGTACGAGGACTTATTTGATAGTTTTCCCTTAATTATATTAATTAATTAGATTATGACTATTAAGTGTAGAAATTTTAATGTTAAGCCGTATTTAGGGACTCAAAACATGATCTTTTATTTATGTAGGAGCAAAACATGAACTCAAAGAGAAAATAAGATCGGAGATCATTCCAATTAAGAGTAGAAAAGTGCAGAGTACATTTAATTTGTGGTCTCTTATCCTACATATATCACTGTGTCCATATATATATATATATATACCTTCAGAACTTTGGTAATCCAATTATACATGATATGCCTTTGTTCTTGTTTTCAATAAATGTAGATTGACTAATTGGATTAAGAAGCATGTGCTGCAACGTGTTGATACTGGTATATGATTATGTATAAAGAATTGAAGCATTATCCCCAAACTGTTACGAAATAAAGACAAAATGTGATTTTAGTAACATTAGTCACATGCCAAATATGTCATCAATTTCTTTTGAGAAAGAAAGAAACTTACAGCTTCCAAATTGACTACCGACTCGTGGCAAAAAAAAACGGGTAATTATAGGATGGTACCGGTATACCATGTGCATGGTATACTGGTACCACATACAGTGTCATTTTTCCATTTTTGAAGTATTACGTACGTTTCTTTTCTTTTCCTTCATGCCCTTCAGGTTTGTTTGGAGCACTATTTCCTCTCTTTATTTTTCTTTTTTTGTTTTCTTCAATTATTTTCACCTCCATGAAAACACTAAAAACTAATTCTGATTTATTTATCTTTATCTTTAACTAATTAAATTAAAATTGAATTAACTTTTTTCTTTAATAACAAATTTGTTACTAAATTTCCTAATCCAAAAAATAAGTACTACCAAATTTATTTTTGGTGTAATACTTTTTTCATTTATATATCTTTTTAGTAAAATATTTTTCATATTCATATGTTTGTAGTTTTTTAATATCTTTTATTATATATTTTTTATCTCTTTTATATGTTTGTAGTTTTTTAAGACATTAAGTTTATTTATTTCGATTTAAATTTGATAAAACATGAGATTACATTTTTCATATGTGTGAGTTATGTTAAAATTTTTGGAGTTACATTTGATAGTGTATGAAGTTACATCTTCTTGCCCACGAGTTACATCTTTCAATGCGTGAATTACATTTTGATTTGCCTCAAAAATTTACATTTTGCATACACCTACGTTAAATTTTCCATCAATGTGAGTTATAGTTTTCATAACACGAGTTACATCAAAAAATAAACTCATGCTATTGAAACAAAAAAAAAATTGTAAAAAAACGATTTCTTTGGAAAAAAAACATTTTTTTGGGAATTTTTTTCACTCTTTAAAACATTTTTATGGCGCTAATATTAAAAACAAAACATATTCACTATTTACGTAAATTAATTGAAAAATATTAAACTCCTTGTTTTCATTGTTTACATTTAATATTATATGAAGTTACATCTTCTTGTGCATGAGTTACATCTGTTTATGCGTGAGTTACATTTTAATATACGTGAATTACACTACGAAAAAAATCTGTTTTAACTATATCATTTTTATAGCCCTAATATTTAAAAAACTTATTCACTATTTACAAAAAGTAATTGGTCAATTAGTATCAATTTTACATTGAAACCAATGTTTATAATATATATATATATATATATATATATATATATATATATATATTCTATCTAATTATATCATTTTATGGCCCTAATATTAAAATTAAAACATATTCGCTAATTACAAAAGTAATTGAGTAATTAGGATCATTTTTTCATTCTTTACATTGAAATCAATTTAGTTTTTTCTTATATTTCATTTTAGACCACTTACCTTTAAAGTTGACTCAAGATACATTCCCTATCAACGTGAGTTATTACATTTGTTGAAACGAGAGTTACATCACCCTGCTATTGGAATACAAAATAAAATGTTGCTGTTCATCCGTGTTTTATCCCTGGGAGCATGATGCTCATAGTGGGTCGGTACCACGGTATACGGACTGAAAAAAAACCATTATATTAAAGTAAATTTTCATAGCGCATTAATCTTTAAAGTGTGTGCCTATACTAGGCCGGATTTCCTAAAATAGTAATTAAGAGCAGTTTTGTAAGATTTAAAATGCTAAAAATTAAGTGAATCCTAGAAAAGGATTCAACAAAGCATATATTCAGAATATTTTTAATTAGAAAAGGATAATGAAAATTAGTTAACGTAAAATGAACAGGAAAAAATATTATTTTTCATAATTAATGAATTGAGTGACAATTATTTAACGTAAAATGAACAGAAAAATACTGAGCTATGTGGTTAAGGCAATACTCCGTAATCACTGCAGCAATAAGGTGTGATTGGTTAAATGTTTGAAAATTGTGGCGTAAATTGACAAATAGGGAGTATTAAATTGCGTTGTGTAGTCTCTTTTTGGCAACGCCCGCAGTGTGAACACATACATATGAAGTGACACTAAGAATAAAAGGCGGTGCAGTGGTCCTGAAAAGTGATGAATGAATTTAACAAAAAGAGCTGATTTGGTGTTTTATGCCAATCTTTTGAATATTCAACAACGATACCTATCAAAGGATCGCAAACTAATTCTGCCCACATAAACTTTAGGAAAAATTGGGAATTAATCACTTAGGGTGCGTTCGGTATCGTTTCTGTTTTTCGGTTAATGTTTTTTTTCTTAGAAAAAAAACAGAAACATGTTTGGTAAAAAGTTGTTTTTGTTTTCAAAATCATAATCTTTGTAAGTGTTTTTAGAAAACGAAAACATATTTCTGAAATCAACAAAACATAGTTTCTATAAATTTGTTATCATTTATCTTCAATATCCAACTACCGGGACACAACCGGCCACCACCGGACCACCACCGGCCACCACCGGACCACCACCGGACACCACCAGCCACCACCGGACCACCACCGACCACCAACGGCCACCAACGGACCACCACCGGACCACCACCTGGCCACCACCGGACCACCACCAGCCACCACTGGACCACCACCGGACCACCACCGGACCACCACCGACCACCACCGGACCACCACCGGCCACCACCGGACCACCACCGGCCACCACCAACCACCACCGGACCACCACCGACCACCAACGGCCACCAACGGACCACCACCGGACCACCACCTGACCACCACCGGCCACCACCAGCCACCACTGGACCACCACCGGACCACCACCGACCACCACCGGACCACCACCGGCCACCACCGGACCACCATCGGCCACCATCGGACCACCACCGGCCACCACCGGACCACCACCGGACACCACCAACCACCACCGGACCACCAACGGCCACCAACGGACCACCACCGGACCACCACCTGACCACCACCGGCCACCACCGGACCACCACCAACCACCACTGGACCACCACCGGACCACCACCGACCACCACCGGACCACCACCGGCCACCACCGGACCACCATCGGCCACCATCGGACCACCATCGGACCACCACCGGACCACCACCGGCCACAACCGGACCACCATCGAACCACCACCGAACCACCATCGGACCACCACCGGACCACTACCGGCCACCACCGGACCACCAGTCCACCACCGAACCACCAGACTATCATGGACTACGAAAATAATTACTCCGTATTTATTTCTTGGAATGACAAAATTGAAAATGAATTAGCACTAAAACAAAACGATTTCAAAAAACTGAGAATAGACAACTAAAAACAGTTTTTTGTTTTTTAAAAACCAAAAATAGAAAACTCAAAACCATACCGAACGAGCCCTTAATAATCATGGTTGGGTCCGTCCGGTTTTGCCTTGATTATTCCAAACTGGTCCACGGTTAAAAATGGGCGGAACTGTGGAGGATTAGTACTCGTTCAATCCAGGTTGGGCCGGTCCACATCTACTAGGTTACTTTCACGCCATCTCTCACTAGTTCCGTTCTTGTTTTTAGTGACTGTTTGGGATTGCTTTTACTCCGAAAATGTGATTTTTTAAGTGATTTTGAAAAAAGTACTTAATAGTAAAAGTTTGTACGTAATGTTTGAGAAAAGTTGCTTCTCAAAAAATAAAATTTGATAATGTTTGATAAAATAATTGTCTTTTATGTAATAGAAACAATGAAAAGCAGTTTAAAACTTCATTCCACTTGCTTCCAACTTTTAGGT